AACAGAAATTAATATTTTTTTCAGTTTATTAACTAAAGATAACATAACAGAAAATAACTTATATTTGTTTTCCATAAAATGTATATTCTACAATAGTTTGATAATTAAAGGCATGTCGCATGTCACAGTCAAATCAACACATGTTATCTTTGTTTCTAAAACCCAACAACAGTAATGTAATAAAATATATGTTAATCTAAAGCAGAGATTTTAAGCTTTAGATAGGTTAGGTAATAACAATCTCTATCCTACTATGAAATAATATAAGGAAATATTGCAAATATAAGATGTAATGTTTAAATTTCACTAAATGACATTATGTCAGTAATATGTTCTGATATTAGTCGTAAAATCTACTGTTTTAGTTTTACATAGAATAAAACTACTATAGTACAGTATAAATAACAAAAAATACAAATAACAAATATATTTTAATTTTAATTTTTTTATGACACCTTTGTGACAAGTGGATTAATTACAAATTAAATATAACTAAATATGAACAATTAAATGAAGTACCTAATGGAAATTATTGATATCATACTGTAACTATTAATAGCCACAACTAATTAATACCAAGGAGTTAATATTATTTCATTGTTTAGTTTTATAGTCAATCATTTTATGGTTTTGTTGTAGGTGTATAAGTAYCTATTTCTATATATTAAATAATATATTTTTATAATAACTATTATTACTTGTCAGCATTCTTAATACTACCTATTTATGACTAACTTTAATTAAGTGATAAAATAACGAAATAATTTTACTAAAACATTAAAACAACAAATATCTAGGTAAAAAACACACAATTCAAATGCATGATATTCTAACAGTTATATCATTAGTTCATTACATATTTAAACAAAATCTAAAGCAGTATGATTAATAAGGGGAATGATTAATAAAATATTAAGAACTTGTTTTAAAATATATATATATATATATATATATATATGTGTATATATATATAATTATTAATTACACGCAGACATGTAAAAGCATCAAAATTGTAGAAACACTTCATTAATGGATGACACTGTCTATGAATATTTAAAAGTTACAAAAAGAACTTAAATAAATGTAAATTTTACTTTTTTGTAAATAGTAAAATGGCAACTAATAATGGTTTAACTTTCACTCTATTTCRTTAATTTTATACAATGCCATTATCTAACCTTACTTGCACTTGTATATGATTATAAATAACTAATAATAATTATGTATAATAGATATTATATTTTATTTTACCAACATTTCATTTTTTCAGAATAAACATTATGTATAATGTATCCAGTGTCTCTGAAGCACTTCAATTAGATATTTTAAGTTTTAAGCAAACATATGAAAATGATAATTTCTCAAGCTTCGGAGTATGAAATATAAAACTATTGACAGATGGTTAATAAACAAAATTAAATCATAGTATAAATCAATAATATTTAAATCATAGTAAGTAGCTACACTTTTTAATAGATTTGATAAATTATAAATTAAAGGTRCTTATGATATATTATTAYATAATTATTTATTTAAAATACCCATAGCTATAAGGTACAATATTAGCAGTACTGTTTAAATAACATCTTACCAGCAACGATCCCCTTCAAGCCCTTGTTGGATCCACCAGCTGGTGCAGCAGCTCCATACGTTGTCATCCATGGTCGGTAAAATGGACTCACGAATTTGTTTTTTCCGTCCATTACGTTTATGGCAATAATATATAATTTAATGTGTAAAAATTAATATTTATAATTACAAAAAGTGTAGGTACCGATAATAATTTATTGTATTATTGTGTTTTTGAAATAATTGTAGATGAATAAAAATTAAAAATAATAATTATAAAAAATAATTGCTAAATTGTTGAATAGCTAATAAATAAAAATCCGACGATCGAGGAGACGACTATAACCATGCTACCTTCAGCTACGACTATTCCATAGTAGTTTCTGTTTCTACAATAATATTCTAGTCGTGGTTTGCCATTAGCACATTAGCCAACCCGGCCAACACCAGTGTGTGTGTGTTTGTGTGTTGGTTATCTCGGGTGAAAACTGAAAACGTTTGTAAAATGTTGATAACAGCCGACCGAACAGCTGTGCGCTGGCCTCCTCACAGTCCTCCCACTGGCTCCGGGCTCGCAATGTTACTGGAAAAGCTGCACGTGTCTATAACCACATAGACTAAATTATTATAATTTTTTTTTAATATGTCTATGGACTGAACCTACCGAAGTACCGACAATCCCGCGTGTGAGATGTTGTGTGGTTGTGTCCGTCTTACAAACTTATAACAAGTCAAAAACTATTTTTATGCTGGAAAAAACCATCGCTCCTAAGCTAACAACCAAATTTTMACATCATCGTTTAGACTTTTTCCATATCGAAAAAAAATATATAAAACGAATACGAAAAAAGTTCTTATTCTTTAAAAATTCATTATTTCAAATCTTTTTTTATTTAATTTAATTTTAAAT